CCTCCCTCTCTCTCCCTCCCTCTCTCTCTCTCCCTCCCTCTCTCTCCTTCTCTCCCTCTTTCCCTCTCTCTCCCTCTCCCCCTCCCTCCCTTCCTCTCTCTCTCTCTCTCTGCCAGCTCCACTCCCTCTCCCCCCTTGGAGCTCTCAGGTTGCCTTGATCCTGATTCTGACTCCCATACTGCCTCCTCTCATTCGGATGTTGCAGCCAACAGGCCACAACAGTACCCCACATTTTTTTTCTCTTTCCCATAACCTGCCTGCATCTCACCATTTTTTCCCTTCTATCCTCCTTTTCCTCAGCCTAATATTCTGTAAGCCATTCATTGTAGCCCTTAGGTTGATAATGGAGCTGATAATGTTGCGTGAAGATAGAAAATGGGGCTACCTTTGAGGAGCAAGGCTTAAGGTTCTTCTTGAGAACATACTGTGTATGCACTTACTCTGCACACATAAAATTAGAGCTAGAAGGAGAACGTAATATTGCCATCTTCATAATTTATTAGTTGGGACAATGAAAAAAACCAGTTGTGGTTGAAAGACAGTACGAAGTTGACTGATGAATGGACATGGCAAACTTGGAATGCAACTAAGAGAAAACTTCTAGCCTTCCAGGAGATGATCGGCTGGCTAGACTAAAGACAGAAGGGTTGGAAGGAAACTACTCCTTCTAAGGTGTCTAAAGCGCCCCTTAATTTGAAGCCATTTTAAAATCCCTAATTGACTTCCTTTTCCTGTATCTGGAAGATACCACCCACTATTTTTTTTAGATAGCTGTGGATTTGTAGCCGATCACTATTGGAAAGATACATCTGGATTATAGGGAATCTTTGTCTAATCCAATGCCTTCTGCACTACATGATTAACAGACTAACGGAGTTGGAAGGGACCGTGGAGGTTTTTTAATCCAACCATCTGCTTAGGCAGGAAACCCTACACCACTTCAGACAAATGGTTGCCCAACCTCTTCTTAAAAACTTCCAGTGTTGGAGCATTTGCAACTTCCACTGGTTAATTGCTGTTGCAATTAGGAAGTTTCTCCTTAGTTCTAAGTTGCTTCTCTCCTTGATGAATTTCCATCCATTGCTTTTGGTCCTGCTTGTAAGTGCTTTGGAGAATAGGCTGACTCCCTCTTCTTTGTGGCAATCCATGGCATATTGGAAGATCCAATGCTATCAAGGAGAGATTCAACCTGGAAATAAGGAGGAATTTTCTGACAGTGAGAACCATCAACCTGGGGAACAGAAGTTGCCTTTGGAAGTTGTGGGAGCTTCATCACTGGAGGCTTTCAAGTAGTGGTGAAATTCAATTTTNGAACTGCAGAACTGCAGTCAGCTGAAGTAGCCTGCAGTGCTGCATTTAACTACTGCGCCACCTCAGCTCAGGTGCAAAAATGCAAGTAGAAAAATAGGAACCACCTTTGGTGGGAAGGGAACAACGTTTCGTACGCCTTCGGTGTTTAATCATGCCGGCTACATGACCACGGAGACGTCTTCAGACAGTGCTGACTCTTTGGCTTTGAAACAGAGCACCGCCCCCTAGAGTTGGGGAGGACTAGCACATATTTGCGAGGGGAACCTCTACCTTTACCTGGGTTTTGCACCAGCATCTCCAAACGATGGTCTCTGCCTCTTTTGGGAAACCTTTCCATCTTGGGTTTGCGGTCCCTGGTTTGTGTCACTGTCAGGCTGGTGCCAAAGTCAACCAGGTTGGCGGTGGCCTGAGAGACAGTTTGTCTAGTAGTTAAGGCGCTCAGTTAGAAAGAGTTCTAGTCCCACCTCAGGGACTGAAAACTGGCTCGGTGACTTTGGGCCAATCACCAGGAGATGATGAGTTCTAGTTCCTCCTTAGGCATGAAAGCTGGTTGGATGACTTTGGGCCAATCACCAGGAAATGGTGAGTTCTAGTTCCTCCTTAGACAGGAACGCTGGCTGGGTGACTTTGGGCCAATCACCAGGAGATGGTGAGTTCTAGTTCCTCCTTAAGTATGAAAACTGGCTGGGTGACTTTGGGCCAAACACCAAGAGTCAAGTGGGGAATTCTGGGATTTGAAATCTACACGTCTTCAAGTTCCCATGGTCAAAAAACACTGGTCTATTAGGACATAGTGTGCTCTTTTAAACTACTGGCAATCCCTTTCTCTCCAAAGTATTCCTGTCGATTTACTTCCTGCTAGAAATGTAGATTTTATGACTGCATGCTTGGCTCTTTTAAAAGTTCTCAGGTATTAATTCTTTGAATCTGCGCACAAACATAACCCGTTCTTTTAGTCTCTTTTTCCTGCCCAGTGATCTATTTTCTGGATATTGTTTAATGCAATGATTAAGTGCTATTTGGGGGAGGGGGGAGTGGCGGGTTGCATTGTTTTTCTGGGTGGGGGACGAAGCTGAGAAGGAGGGGCCAGCCCAAAGTCACCCATGTGGCTCTGGGCCCAAGGTGGGGCTAGAACTCACCCTCTCCCAGATTCTACCCTGTGCCTTGAACCACTAAACTTAGTTGGGTCTCCTTCAGTGCTTTGGATACATGTTCATATAGGAAAGCATCCTTGGATCGTAATGGTGAAAAGGAATATGTCAAAAGAAAATGGACAGTTAAGAAATAGATAGTATAAGTAAATAGATAGATGAAGTAAATAGATGAGAGAGAAAAAAAAGAGAGAGTGGGGAGATAATGGATGGATGGATGGATGGATGGATAGATAGATAAGATAGATAGATAGATGATAGGTAGGTAGGTAGGTAGGTAGGTAGGTAGGTAGGTAGGTAGGTAGATAGATAGATTATCTAGATAGATAGATAGATAGATACTGTAGATAGATACTGTAGATAGATAGATAGATAGATAGATAGATAGATAGATAGATAGATAGATAGATAGATAGATGATGGACAGACAGACAGACAGATATGGGTGGGTGCGTAGATAGATTAATAGATAAATATAAATAAACAGACGGATAGGTGGGAGATAGATAGATAGATGATGGACAGACAGACAGACAGATATGGGTGGGTGCGTAGATAGATTAATAGATAAATATAAATAAACAGACGGATAGGTGGGTGGTGGGTGAATGGAGGGATAGAGAGAGAGAGAGAGAAAGAAATTGAATGAAAAGAGACCACAATTGAGATCAGAATTTCCATTTTTCAACAAGGTGGTGCTTAAGTGAAACGTACCTGATTTCACGTCCTTTTTTACCCATGGTTGTTAAGCAAATCACTGCAGTTCTTCGGTGAATCCCCTGGTCGTTAAAGAGAATCCGGCTCCCCCCTTTGACGATGGGGCTCGTCAGAAGCCGGTTGGAAAGCTCCCAAAGTCAGTAACACGGTCGTTGAGTGAAACTGGCTTCCCCCATTGGCTTTCCTCGTCAGAAGGTCGCCAAAGGTGGATCTCGTTCAACCATCCTAAGCGCATTCCAGTTGCCAAGCCCCTGAATTAGGATCACGTGACCAGGGGGGGGATGCTGCAACATCCGTGAGCGCGAGGACCAAACCCTAAGCCCCCTTTTCGCCGTGCCGCCATAACGCTCGCTGCTACGAACAGTTGTAAGCCGAGGACTCCCTTGTACTCAACGTTGCCGGATTCTCTTGCAGGGACCTTCGACCGGAGCATGACTCTTCTGGAAGTCTGCGGAAGCTGGCCGGAGAGCTTCGGCCTGCGCCACCTGTCTTCCCTGGAGCAGACGGACGAGGGTCTTCGGGAAAGACTGGCCGACGCTATGTCCGAGTCGCCCAGCCGGGACGTGGCGGCATCTGGAACAGGTACAAAGGAGACGCGTGATCAGAACTCAGGCTCCTCTCTTACCCAACGGTGATTTCCTTTCATTCAATTAATAACCTTCCGTTCTTCCCTGGGGGAGTGGGGGGGTCCTGTGGGTATGCCCACAGAGAAGGGCATTTCGCAGGAACCCTATTTATAAAGCAACTGGGCTTGGCTGCAGCTCGTCCCTTCCCGTATATTCCTGGAACTCTGCAATATATATATATATAGCCATAGTGACACTAAATACATACCTATTTCCCTGGCTCAGCTGATAAAGGAGGAGAACCTTGTGGCTTAGTGGNGATAGATAGATAGATACAAACAAACAAGCAAACAAACAAACAAACCATTAGAACCTTCTGGCCATGTAGTAAACCTCCACTGCTTTCCAAATTTCTAATACTAGTGATTTGTTTCTGGTTTTTATTGCTTTCCCTATTTAAAATGACGGAACAGGGTACACAATATTTGAAACACAGTCATCCTGGAATTAACATCCCAAAATAACACACCCAGCACACAACGAAGGCTGGGGTCACCACATATGCCCAAATTTCCCTTACTAAGGAAGGCAGTTGTTAGGTGACTCTTGCCCCATTTTATGACTTTTCTTGCCACCGTTGGTAAGTGAATCACCGCAGCTGCTCAGTTAGTGACGCAGTTGTTAAGTGGATCTGGCTTCCCCCTTGACTTTGTCAGGAGGTCGCTAAAGAGGATGACATGACCCTGTGACCGTCATAAATACGAGTCAGTTGCCAAAAACCTGAATTTTGGTCGCGGGACCATGGACAACAGTCAGTCTGAATAATGATTGTTGAGTCCTTTTTTTCATTGCCATTGTAACTTTCAATGGTCACTAACCAAGTGGTTGTTAATCAAGGTCAACCTATAACAGGCATGTACTGCCATATGTGGTGGTCGTGCCAAAAATCAAAAGAATATTGGCAGAAAATCCAAAAGTGGCTGATAGAGATAACAGAAGAGAAAATAGAACTTATACCAGAACTATTTCTTTTGAGAACCATAAACAATAAATATAACAAGGGGGTAATTTACCTAACAATGCATATTATTATGGCAGCAGGAATGGTCTTTGTCCAAAATTGGAAAAACAGGGAAACTCCACAGGAAGGGGAAATAATTAGGAAAATCCTGACGTCCTAAAATGGATAAATTGACGTGGGAATTGAAGAATAAAGATGAAATCAGAATACTATAAGATCTGGGACAAATTTTTATCGACGGTAGGAACGGAAAGGGAAAGGCCCAAAATAAGCTACGATTAAGATGCATAGAACGGAATTATGTAAATGCAACAAAGGTTAGATTGGAGGGAGGGAGGGGCAGTAGGAAAGACAGGATGGAGAGGAGAAAGGAGAGGAACAGGNCTTTCTTTCTCTTTCTTTCCCATTTTTCTTTTTCCTTTCTTTCTCGCCCTTTTAAGCTTCCTCCTCAACTAGGAAACATCAGTGGATGAGCGCTGTTTATTCATATCCTATTCCTGAAAATGATTAATAATAATAACAACAACAACAACAACAAAATAATAAGGCAGGGATCTCCAGAACAGGGAAAAGAAAAATAACAAGGTATTTCCATTTGAAAGCGGCAAATAAATTAGGCAATCAAGGGGCCATTAATGCAAAACAGGTGGTTGACAGGGAGAGCTGAGATAAATTGGCAGATGCTAGGGAGGGGCGCCTGGCCTGGAATGCCGCCTCTATCTCTTGAAATGATTCCTCTAAAGAATCTTAAATCAATTAATTAGGTGCGTTTCAACGTGTTGATTAAATCCTCCCAACAGTTGCAAGCAAACGTAAATAACCAGCTCTAAAGGCCAAGGCTCCCTACTTCTCTTGGCTTGGCTCTCAGGTAAGAGCAGGGGACAGGAGGAGACGAGCTGCAGTGAGAAAGTAAAAATAACAGAATAACAGAGTTGGAAGGGTCCTGGGAGGCCTTCTAGTCCAACCCCCTGCTCAGGCAGGAGACACTATGCCATTTCAGACAAATGGTTGTCCAGTCTCTTTTTAAAAATTCCCAGTGTTGGAGATTCACAACTTCTGGAGTCAAGTTGTTCCACTGATTAATTGTTCTCACTGTCAGGAAATTAATTCTAGGTTGCTTCTCTCTTTGACTAGTTTCCATCCGTTGCTTCTTGAAATCTTTGAAATCGGATTGTAAGTACCTTGAGGGAAGGCCTGTCATAACTTCGAACAGTCACTAAGCAACCATAAGTGGAGGATTACCTGTATTCCACGTGTGTTATTTCTGCTTTCTTCCTTGTTTTGAAATGAAATCTCAGTTTAACCAGGAGACATATTCAGAGCTATGTATGTATGTATGTATGTATGTATGTATGTATGTACATAAATACACATATACACNTGTGTTGCATTTGTGCTGATAAATAAATAAAGGGAGACTAGTATAGATCTATTTCAAGCTATTTAGCTCTCATCAGCTAGCCATACCCTTACTGGCTTTTTTTTTTCCCGGCCAAGAATGGTCCAGAAAGGCCTTGAATCTAAAGCACAGATGTTCCCGCAGAGGCTCTCTGCGGTTACATGATTCTGGGGATGGAGGAAGTTTCCGATCGGCTCCCGGTTTTCAGCTCTTGGCCCCTGACCTCGAGGGCTATAAATGCTTCCGGATCAGGCTGGGATTTCATGGAGGAAATAGGTTCCAATTTGTCCCTTTGTTATTGTTGGGTTTTTAAACACCCCCCCCCTCCGAAAAAACCCTGCAGATGTTTGCTTGGTTAGTCTCCTAAGCCCTTTCTTGGCTCGAACCTGAGGGACTACAGATCCCATCGCTCCCAAACTAGCATAGTGCACTCTCAGAGGGCAGGATGGGAGTGGCCCATGGGGTCTCTGGTGGCTAAAACGGGCCTCGTGTGGGGACCCCCCACGCCTCATTTTCACCCCCCATGGCTTCCTGCAGCACTATGCTGGTCCGAAAAAATGACCCCAAAACAGGTCCCAAAAAGGCTCAATTACGCACCCTAAAATACGTCCCAAAACAGGCCCCCAAAACACCCCAAAAACGCATCAGAGAACCACCCTAAAACAGCGCAAATAATCTCCCTAAAACAACCCAAAAATGCCCCCCAAACAGCCTCAAAGATGGCTCAAAAAACAACCTGAAATGCCCCACAAACACACCCCAAAACCACCCCAGAGAACCACCCTAAAACAGCACAAAAGGCCACCCTAAAATGGGCCTAAAATGGCCCCAAAACAGCTCAAAAATGGCCCAAAACCTGCCTTCAAACGGCCCATAAATGGTCTCAAAACCACCCTAAAATGACCTGAAAATGGGTCAAAAGCCCATCCTAAAATGACCCCAAAAACGGCCGGAAAACAGCATGAGAAATGGCCCAAAAATGCTCCCCAAAAACCACCTTAAAACAACCCTCCCAAAAATGGCTGAAAACAGGCCCGAAAACAATCCAGAAAACAATCCCTAAAACAGACGGCAGAGTCCTGCAGGACGCCATAGAGGGTGAAAACGAGGGGTAGGGGGGGGGGGCTGCACACAGACCCGCCGTGCCCCATTTTGGCTGGCAGGGGGCTGCAGGAGGCATCCGTCCTGCCCCCACACAGACATCCATGCCAGCCCACGGAGGAGATCTACAATGCTGATCTGGCCCTCAAAGAAATCCAATTTGCTCCCCTGCTCTAGTGGGAAAAGCAACAGAAACTGGGGGACAGTGAGTTCTAGTCCTGCTTTAGACATGAAAGCCAGCTGGGTGACTTTGGGCCAATCACCAGGAGACTAAGAGTTCTAGTGCCGCCTTAGGCATGAAAGCCAGCTGTGTGACTTTGGGCCAATCACCAGGAGACNTACCAATAATAAAAAGAGATCCCGTTGTAAAAATCAGATAGCCCCCTCCCAAAATATTCCAATTGTTCTTGCAAACACAGCAAGGAATTCCTGCGCGAGTTACTTACCCTTAGACTCCCTACCCTTAAAAATTGAAACCACATGAGTTGGATGTGACTTTTTATATCTCTTTAAAATCTCGGTGGAAAGTTGGCAGAGACTGATTAAGCACAAGGGACAGGCTAGAGCTGAAGTTTCTGTGGGTGTCAATTGTCCAGGTTTATTCTTCAAACGCCCTTCTTCCTTGCCGATCCAGGTTCCAGAAACTTGGCCTGACATTCAGCTGCAGCTCCAGATGTTGGTCCAACTGGCAATGAGCTTAGTATTTCACCTTTATTCAGCTGGCATAAGAAATCCCAGGGGTTTTCCATACCTATCATAGATCTGCCAAGAGCTGGCTGAGGAATTCTGGGAGTTGAAGTCCCTGCATCTAAAGTTGCCAGGGGCTGACTGAGGAATTATGGGAAATGAAGTCTACACATCTTAAAGTTGCCAAGGGCTGGCTGAGGAATTCTGGGAAATGAAGTCTACACATCTTAAAGTTGCTAGAGGCATACTCAGAATAACAATAGAATTGGAAAGGGACCTTGGAGGTCTTCTAGTCCAACCCCCTGCTAAATCAGGAAGCCCTCTACCATTTCAGGCAAACGGTTGTCCAATCTCTTAATGGATGCGATGGAGCGATGGAGGTTAGGTATGTAATGTAGGGCAGTTCAGTTGGGTTGCAAATAGATGTAAAAGCTTATTTGTCAGTGTTCTTCTGGGGGAATAATTTATACTTGTTTTTTTTGTCCTTCCAAATTCACATTTTTTATATGTACTTGTCTAGTTGTGTTTTGTCCCTGCTATTCCACTCCCCTCTTGTACAGGCAGTCCTCAACTACCATCACCCTGCCCCTTTCACTGTGGGATGGAGGGGATACCTTACAGTATATGATACATGGAATATAGTGAGAATAATTCCCTTTATGCGTCTGTTGGAAGAAATGTCCTTCTGGGTTCAGTTCCAAGTGGGGAAAAAGACACTGGAAACATGGAGGCTGCTTGGAATGATGGTTTAATGGTGGACAGGATCACGTGCCTCGAAGTCCTGGGGGGAAAAGGTGACCACATGCTCCCAGATGTTGGGTGAAGAAGAAGAGAGAAAGAAGGGCTGAAAGTTCCTGGCTTTATACTCCCTGTTCGGCCCCACCTCCCTGTTTCCTGTTCCTGTGTAAGAAATGTATTCTGATTGGTTGTCAGACTCCCAGGGGCAGAGGGAGTGGGGTCTTAGCGCTAACTTTGTAGGTTGTGTGTCTTTTGAGTCCCAAGTTGTGAATGCTCCAACACTGGAAGTCTTTAAGAAGATGCTGGATAGC